GATTTGACGGTAAAAATAAGTTTGTAATTCGTTTGCCCGGCGACGAATTATTTAGGCAATGATGTGCAAAAATATTTTTGCATGACAAATGTTGATGCTATATTTCTTTTAAGCGACGCGAAAAATGGCAGAGTATTTTTACTGGCGTTTTTTTAGATCCGTTTGAAAGTCATGAGGTTTTTAATCTACGAAAATAGATCTTTTTGTTTGTTACTAACGTTTGTTTTTCATATGCGGAGAAAAAATGTTTGTTCAGATGGTACTTTTGAGTTTTATTACAAATGCTTTGTTGTTATACTTACGTAGATTATTTAAGCGGTTGTATTGAAATTTTCTCCTACTCCCGTAGGGTCGGCACGACAGGTTTTTGTCCTCCAAATAACTCTATCATCCGTCATCTCAGTCATCACTCCCTTTTTGATCATGTTACCTTTCACGCAATCCATCCGTCTCTTTCTTTATTTCTCGCTTAATAATATTTTGTTTTAAAAATAATCGACAACTCATAAAATGTATTTCTTATCCGAAAATTATCACTGCATACTAGAATATGACAGAACTTTCGGTTTCTGTTTCGCGTCTCCTCCACCGTCAAATCTACGTTCCTTTCCCATCCTTTTCTTATAAGAACGTGGGAATGAAAAAGGATTAAAACCCGCTTTCGTTTTCGGTATCGGCTGAATCTACTACGATCGGAGACAACTCCATACATACCGAGTAAAAAAACTAATGATACAAAGTAAATCAAAGTTATTACACATATCTTTATGAACATATAAAACGCAGACGATTAAAATATCAAAATACATGTCGAGAATAAATATTTTACTATCGTAATAAAACATTCGAGCAACGAAACATTTTTATCTTGAACATAACACGCTCGTTTTCTTTCAGGAAAAACATCGACCCTGAATGAATCATGTTTGTTAATTCAAATGAATGGATTTAGTCCATTCATTGTGTTTCATTGTGCTTACACTAGTCAATGCATAATTCTATCTATACTATTATAATAAAGCGTAAACACACACTTCTTTGTTGCCTAACATGTCAGCAATTACATTACATTTTTGAATAATTTATTTTTAATAGAAAGCTCTACTCGTCACGCTTTAAGCTATATATTTTAACGCCATTAAACTTAGGGGGGTAAATATTTTGGATAAAAACCCTAACGTGTTTTCATCATTTCATGTCATTGTGACATTTGTAATTGATAATTTGACAAATGTAAACAATAAAATAAATTTTTCATAATTTCATGCGGATGAAGCCGCACGGAAACAGCTAGTACTAATATAGAGAGGAAAGATTTATATTTTTTTATGTACTGAAGTAACTTAAAAACTACTGGGCAAATTTAAGAAATTATTTCACAATTAAAAAGCTACGTTATCAGTGACTAACATAGGCTATGCTTTTTTATTTTTAACCCCTTCCTAAGCGTCTCCTCCACTGACAAATACACTAAGTCAATTTATTATTAAGAAAGGATGGGTAGAGAAAGCAACTATAAGACCTCTGGCCTATCATATAAACAAAAGACAAAGAGATGTTTAAATTTGTCAAAGTGATATAGTAAAGACGTCTTCAAAGCGCTCTTAGGATAGGATTTTTATATTATTGGTTAGATTCATCAACTAGCTCTTATTCTTTACGGAGGGTCGGCACAGTATGTGCTGCTCTTCTGAATCTGAATCCACTCCTTACTTAAGCGTATCCTCTTTCACACAATCCATCCATACTTTCTTCGATCTTCCCCTACCTTTGTAGTCATCCACATTCAATCTTAACACTTTCCGGTTTATGTCCCCATCCTCTCGTCGCATATTATTGGTCATATTATAAAATCTATTTCAAAGATTTCCAGTGCATAACAAAGCGCCGAATTCCAATAGAATCCGGTACATACAGCATGATCGATATACGAGGTGCCGGGTTCGTTTCTATTTCTGGTACGCGAAGGTCGCACATAATAAACAATGCTGTTAACAGGTGCCTCATAGATTAGATAGTGTAGATACGGCAACACGTTACGCTTGTTTTATACTTATAGAGTTGATATCTGTTAATCTATGGTTAACTGTAGTATACTTACTCGTTATCAACTTGATTTTGTCTCTGAGAGTTGGCAAAGTATTTGCAGCTCTTCCATATATCTCTATCAGCCGTCATATCTGAATTCACTCCCTTAAGCATATCACACAATCCATACTTTCGTATGTTTACCTCTTTGGTAGCCATCTACATTCTTAATACTTTCTGGTAGTATTGGTATTAGGGTCAGATAAAGTGCCATTTCAATTATTTTTAACGCTATTATTTAGACAAAAAATAGTTATATAAATCAAGATTCCTTCTTTTTAGGTTATTAAATAAAATAAATAATACGAAATTAATAATATTTCTCTAAGATTATTGTATTATTCTGAAAATACGATAAAAATTAAACTAAACAAATATGTCATTTTAATTAAGTTAAAGAAGTTTTAACAAAACAAATCATAGAAATAATATAAGTGAAAAGATACATTATTTGAAATTAATTATTTATTAAAACACAGAAATTAAATGAAAAGGAAACAAATAAAGCCAAGTAATTATAAATAATCAAAATACAAATTTATAAGAAGACAGAAATTAAAAAAATCAGATTCTCAATGGTAAGATAGTTATTCACAACCAAAGTAAAAATAAAAGTCCATTATTATATTATAAAATGTATTGACTACCAGATAAATATGTTTCTTAATATTTTTAAAGCTAAAGGCTCTTTGGAAATTCGACTTACAAAAAATATAAGATGCAGTATCTTACGTCCCTATGGTTACCTTGAATATGGTCGTTAAATATATAAAAATCATAAATTTTATTTAGTTATAAAATCATTAACAGCGAAATGACTTCCGAATGATATAAAACGTGTGTTGAAAATATAAGGGTAATACCACACTAGAGTGGACGAACCGAATTTAATTCGCAATATTATGATACTCTGATCTCCATATTAATAGAAATCGGTTATTTATAAACTGTTTATTTTGTACAAAGAAAAGTATAAATTTTAGTAATAGCCGTAAGTAGTTATGTAATTATGTCTAACTAACATAGTTAAGAAATTTAAAAAAAACAAACGTGAAAATTATGAGAAATATTAGTAAATGTTTTTTAGATTATTTTTTCTAAACATAATTATATTTACTGTCATATTTTTATATATTTATACACTACACTGTACAAACTATAACTAATTTACTAGTATTGTATCTTCAAATTTATTGATAGATATTAACGCAGATATGATCAATACCGTTCACTTCACAACTCCGAACATACACACTGATGTGTGGCCACCTTTACTAAAATTGTTTACTTCAACCTTAAAGTCCAGACTCTGTTAATATAGGTAGGTTAAAGTAACAGACAATCTGCCGTTACTTTTGGCCGCCAAATTGATTTTAAGAAACCGTTAAAATTCTTAGAAATTCTTTGACTAAAAAATCTATTTTCTCGTTTATTGATAAAACGCTCCGCTTTTGTTTTAAAGGACAGTTTTCATTGATTTTGTTAAATCGAGTACAGAATTGGAATATCAAAAATTAAATTTATTTACATAAAAAACACCGAATTTGACAGCTTCACTCTTAGAATAAAGAAACACTAACTGACCAGTAAGTCCATACAATTCATGTCTGCGCCACCAACTATATTGGCTAAGTCTAAACCAGGTATTATTTCCAAAACACTAAGGTCCTGTGCCGCCAAATTGTAAATTGTGTGATAACAGTCCAACGTGTAAAATATGTATTGGAAATATTGAATTTTGTTTCCTTTGAAAGGTTCCGGTATGCAAGATCTAGTGCATACATGTGTGAACTAATGTTATGAGTAACATTATAACCATAAAAGAAGGCATATCCTATAAAACTCATCTATTATGTTCTAGAAGATAAGAATAGAAGTAAACGTGTATCAAATAGAAAGAGAAGTTAAAGAATGTGAATAATGTATCTTTCCACTCACTTGTCGTGTAGCCGAAGTCATCTTCTTCCTCTGGATCCGCCTCCTTCTCTTCTTTGGTGCGCTTGATCGCTCCCGCTGATGCTCGATCAATCTTAACAAAAGAAAGAAGAATAAAATGTAAAGATAAGAATTACATTTTTGTTCTTTTGTTTTTAATTCCTTTTTATATTTACCTCAACTCCTTTCTCAGAATATGTTCTTCCACTCAATTCTCTTTCATCTTCTTCGTCACTGCTCTCAGAGTCTGAGTAGACCGGCTTAGAAGACTCCGTTTCCGAGGATCCTTTCTCCTTAGTTTCCTTTTCTGCATCTATTTCTCCTTCTTTTTCAGTTCCTGCTTCTGATGTTACTGTTATCTAAAAGATAATTTTAACTGTTAGGTAAACTACTATAGAATGGAAAGGAAAAGTGGATTTGACGGTGGTGGAGACGCGTAGTGAGGGGAAATGTCCTCTTTATGTGCGTCTCCTCCTCCGTCAAGGGTAGGCAAAGCATCTGCAATTGCGGATGTTTATGGGCAGCGGCCGCTTTCGATTTCGGTGGATTCAGGACGCTTGCTCGTTTAGCACCTAATATTATAAAACAAAAAAAAAAGATACACGAAAACACGACACCAACTCCAATGTAATGTGAAAACAAGAAAAGGAATAACGTTAGAATTTTCTAGACTACCAACGATTTTATTAATGTATCATAAAGTATACACTTTCACTTGGCCAGGATCGCAATTGGAGAGTCTGATAACAATCGAACGTGTAAAATATGTGATGGAAATATCAGATTTTGTTCCCTTATCTGACAGTGACGTCATTTTTAGTTTTATCTGAGCCTCTATCAGCCAGAGGTGTTACAGGCCCTTAGGCTATAGAAAAGTAGCTAATAATGTGGT